TCTGTAAATCAAATCCTTTATAACACCATGATTATGATTTCAAAGGAGACTAACTTGGCGTGCTACCAAATAGTTATCATCTTAATGAACTTTTCTTCAGTCATGGGGTCGGGAATGCTTCTCTTGTTTATATTAATTATATTATATTATTCCATGAGTTGTTGCTCCATTTGTGCATCATTGTTAGATCATCAGTATGTACAGGTCAAGCTCCCACTAGTGCCTATGCCTGGCCCGTAGTCAAATCCCCTTCCCCTCATTGCCCCGGTTTCCTGCCTCCAGGGAAGTTGCTGGCTTCCCTAATTTTGTGGATGAGCTCCTGATCCCCTGGCTGCAGCTCTCTCTTCCTTGCAGTTACACTCAGGTTCAAGAGATGCAGGGCCAATCTACCTTTTATAGGAATTTTTTGCATTGCTTTGATCATTATTGCATACCCCTGGAAGGATAGATCCAGCACTATCTAGGCTACGTCACTGAGCAATGACTAGGAGTTCAATTGACGCTGTGTCCTACTTTACACACAACGACCAAGATGTTCAAAAGTGATTATTTTAGGCACCCATCTCAAGACACCTCAAAGAAGCCAGTTTTTTAAAGAATATGCTGTGCATCTGCACTTTGAAAATGAGCCCCTTCAAGGTGTCAGAGAACTGAGTCACCGAAAACACCAGTCATTTCTAAAAATCTCAGCCAAGATAACTGTGAATGTGCAATGTGCTGCCCTGGTATTACACAGTGTCTTTATGTGAAAGAGGCTGAATTTCTGTTAGCTTTTGGGCCTCCACAAATTTCACCACTTCTGTATGCTATCTACATTTCAATAGGGTTAAAAATAAAACCCAGTTACTTCTGGGTAAGTGCACTTCCTATTTCTGCTTGCTATTTCCTACTTCTGTTTCTGGAGGGTTTGCACAGTAAGTCCAGCTCACATAGCTAGTTGGGGGGATTTTGGCTTGTAGAGCCTGTTCTCCCCACTTCCTCCTCTATCAATCAGCACTAAAAATGTATAAACAAAAAATAAAACAATCACAGTAATAAATGCAGTATTTAAGAAAACACAGCCAATCAGGCAGAATTTTCCAGAAATAATAACCAAAGATTTAATCTGACGGCATCACATATGTAAGAGTCCTGTGTGGATACAAAATTTGTATCCCCATCCACATCGGTATCTGCCAAAATAAGCCATGGATATATGCATCCACAGATGTGGATACCTACAGATAGAAAGTGGACACCTGCAAATCTGCAGGATTCTAGATTAGGGATTTGATAACCAGTTAGCTGGTTACCCGAGAACAGCCTTTCATCTGTGGCTCGCTGTAGGTGGAGGGCTGCTCCAGCTCCAAGGGGGTGGGAGTATAGGGGGGTTGGGGAGGCTGCCCATGCATGGGGGAGAGGGGCAAGAGTAAAAATCCCTGCTCCCGGTGAGCTGGGCTGCTAGCCCCTGCTACCGTCCCCCCGCCACTACTGACTGGGAATTGCAGCCAATGGGAGTGGCAAGGCAGGGCAGTCCTTGCAGGGTGTGCTTCCCCAGGAGCTGTGCCAGATAGGCACCCATATCCCCGACCTCTTCCTTCACTCCCACGTCACTCCTGCACCCACCCTTCCTTCCATACCGCACACCCTCCTTTCTGCCCAGACTCTGAAGTCCTACCCCCAGCCCACTCCTGCCCCTTCCTTCCCTCCCACACCCTGCACTCCCACCTCAGCCCTAGTAGTATAAGGCTGGTAAGTGATCAGAACACGAGTGTTATTTCTCATCTGAGAAAAGGGGCTTTCAGCACTGCACTGCCTCCAATACCCTCCTGGAAGCAGTAGTCAGTTAATGAACTACAAAAGCCATTTTACTATGTGTTAGAAGCCATCCATTCATACACTGAGCAGACCTACCTGCCCTGCTCATCTTGTAAGCGAGGACTGGATCCCAGCACAAGGTGATATGGCTGCAAGAAATTTCTCCAGACTCTCCTAGCGTTAGTGGAATCCCTCATATTTAAAGATGAGATGGTATGGCCTATTACAAGGGTGGACAAAAGGTCCTTCCAGGCCGGATCTGGCCCACGGAGGCCCTGCTGCTCACCCGCCCCCAGGCCAATTAGGGGCAAGGGAAAGCGCATAAAGTTTCTTCTGCCCTACCAGGAGTGCGCGGCACTTAAAAACACCACACACTCCTGGCAGGGCAGGAGGAGACTTCACGCCTTCCCATGTCCCCAAGCTCTGATTGAACTTGAGGCAAAAGGGGGAGCACGCAAAGTCCCCTCCTGCCCTGCCAGGAGCGCTTGGTGCTTCTAAGTGCTGTGCGCTCCTTGCAGCACGGGGATAGGGCAAAGGATACTTTGCATGCTTCCCGCCTGCCCCCAGGCTCTGATTGGCCTGGGGACATGGGGAAACCGGGGGGGGGGGCAAGGACTTCATGCGCTCCCTCATCCCCAGAAAAATCATGGTCTGTGTGGTCTGTGGGGGTTGGAGGGAAAGCAGGGAAGTATCTTGGCCCTGCCCCTTCTGGTGCAGCCCAGAGCCACTTCAAAAATTTCTGAAGTGGCCCCAGCAAAAAATTATTGCCCACCCTGGCCTATTATTATCCCCTGCACAATGAGAGCAGCCAACACCATCTGCATGAAAACAATATTCACATATCACGATTTAATGACTCACTACATCCCAGCATTAAAGATGGGTAAGCAAATTCAAATGACGAACAAAGACCCTATTCTAAGGAATGGACTAACTATCATCACTTATCCTTGGCAGAAACTACACGATCCTGAACCAAAATAAGTTCAAACACATGTAGCACATGCACAGGGAGCAAACTTTCTGAAGCGATACATAATTGAAAACCTACCCTCCAGGCCACATGGCCAATCTTCCCTATCACATGCAATTCCTTACACACACAATTCTAGGTATAGTCATCATACTGGAACGCTTTGTACTAAGGATGTTAAGAGGCGAGAATTTATTCAAGTAGTCAATAGAATTTTTATCAATTAGTTGATGGTCAATCTCGGCTCGTGCTGAGTGCAGGACCAAACCCTGCTGCAGCTTTGCAAATTAAAAGGCAGTAGGAGCTGGGCAGCCTGTTTCCCAGCTCCTACTGCATTTTAAATTGCAGGGACGCAGCGGGGTTTGGTCCTGCACTCGGCACGAAACGGGACTAAACCAGACTACCTGCTCAGCCGGCAGCAGCCCCTATCCATGGGGGGTCCAACTCCACACTGGGACCCCCACCACACAGACAAGGGCTGCTTCACTGTGGAGATGGTGCGGGGAGGACCCGCTTTTAAGCCAGCTCCCCCCAGCACCGCCTCCTGCTTCACCCCCTTAATTGCATCTGATACAGAGGCGGCAAGATAGGGGGGATGTGAGCAGTCGACTTAACTACCCGATAAGCATAGGCTTATTGGGTAGTTGATCAGTCAACTACTCCCTTACATCCCTACTTTGTACACTACTTGCTACTAGTAACTTAACACACACTTTACAAGAAGTGGATGTGCCTATGAAAGCTAATGATTCTGTTTATATATTTTTGTTAGTCTCTAAGGTGCTATAGGACCATTGCCGTTTGTTAAGTTATAGACTACCACGGCTACCCTTCTGAGACTTTAAAGCAATGTAAGAATTTCCATGAGGAAAGCCAAAAGTTATTAAATAGTAAAACAGAGTTTATAGCTTTTTTCCTTCCCATCTCATTATTTCTGTACAGATCAATTGGTTTATTTACCTTTTCTTTGAAACACTGAGAAAAATCTGTCAATCAGCATTACAGGCTAAAACTGTTGGAGATCCCTTAAAGTCTGCTAATCATTACAGCAGATTAAAATTCCTCTCATGGTTTATAATTTATATTGCCAACAGAAATGAATTCAGATTTGCAGAGAGTTTAGACATATGATTAACAGTTTAAGGCATATATCAGATTTAATCATTATTCCCGAGAGTTCCTGTTCACTGTAAAGCTTTAAATATAGAAAAAAAAGACACCACAAAATAATCATAATACATACAGAAAAAGGAAAGTTCCTGGAGCTCCGTGTGACACTGGTGCGAAATGTCTTTGGTAAAGGTAAAAAGGCCTCTGAATAAAATATCAGGCATTGCTTCATAGTTGCTGATAAAATCCAAAATAAGATTGCTAAAACATTAGCATCTTCTCAGCTTTGCTTACTCACTACCCAGCGTCAAAAACACCTTCATCCTACACTTCTAACACAAAGACTGCCTCCTTATGAATTGTTTATTATGGGGGGGAAAACACTCTAATATAATAAGGCAAGGACTGGCTCTTGTGCTGAGACACAACTATTTTTTACTTGGAGAAAATTAACATTGTTGTCCTGGGATTGACAATATTGGTAACATACATTAATATTTGAAGAAGAAACAATCACACAAACAAAAACCATCCTCAAACACTCATTTTCCTTTAAAGAAGGATTTCTACCTTTGAGTTCAAAATATTATTATGTAAAAACACAAACCTCCTAATCTATGCTATGGATTCTTAACATTAAATCATCAATAGCTGCTGAATCAAAGCTTATATAGTACAACATGGGCCGGTGAATATCTATTCAGCCTTAGGAAAGATGCTCTGATTTTAAAAGCTTTGGTATCTGGAGCACATACTGCATCAATACTGGATGGCATATTTGTGTTGATGTGCTAAAAAATTATGAATATTAAAACACATTTTTGAATCTTTTGTATGTGATATAAGTATTGACTAGTTTCACTTGTAAGGAACACTGTTCCTACTGTATTGCTAGATATACATGTATGTCATTATTCTTGCAAGTAAAATTAACTGTTACATTTTGTACATTCTTGAAGGTATGAACTTGGATTTTCAAAGCAACCTAAGGGAATTAGGTGTTTAAATCTCACTGAATTCCAGTGGAAGGTATTAACCTAAGTCCCTTGAGCACCTTCAAAAACAAAGCCTAAATATTTACTGTTGCTTCAAATAGGAAAGAAAAAGCTGTTCCATTTACCATTTTGAGACTCCATGTTGCGCTCTCCGCGAACAGTAGATTCCTCAGTTCCCACACACCAGTACATTGTGGGTTGTATTTGCAAAGTTTCAATAAGCCAACTTTCTGCCGTATTTAAAATTAAATTGTGTTGTCAAAGTCAAACGACCTCCCTCTTGATTCAGGATTGGAGTGTCACTGCTAATTGTCACAGTCATGAAGAAACACCATCTGTTATGCTTTGGGAGGGAAAAAAGCAAAAATCATATACCATCCCAATGCAGGAATTGCAAGATGTTTATTCCTCTACACATATAAAAGCTTCTCTAGACATTATCTTGAAAAAGTGCATTTATTACATGCCACTGTAAATACAAAGTATTATACTTATAGCTATCCATAATGTGCATCAACAAAATAGCCTGAAAATTTCTTCACACTAAAAGGGAGGGAGGGGGTAATTTCAATTGCTCTCAGTTAAAACTACTGAAGAAACAAGTCGGAATTGGGATATTTTGGATAAGGATTGCAGATCCCATTTCTGACTCAATGGGCTAGTGTAAAGGCTGAGCACTGAAGTGGTGTAAACCTGCCATAGGGAACTCTTGAAAATTCCTAAAGAAACTGCACTTCAGAACCATCTTGACTCACAAAAGAAGCCAAAGTCTAGGCAGAAAATTGTAGGTCCAGGTAAGAGTAACATTTGAGAAATCCCATAGCATTCTCAACAAATACTAATCTGGTTACCAAAAAGGAGAAACCCTCTTTGGAAGGAAAGAAAACAAGGGGGAAAGAAAAACTCACATTTTGTCTCTAGCTCAGTAATGCACAAGCATTTCATTGCAAAACAACCAACATTTTTCAGGAACATATCCAATGAGTCACATTTAATTCCTAAGAGTTACCTTTAGATTTTTTTAACCAGGTTGTAAAATTAGCAGTGATCAGAGCATTCGTTTTCTTACTCATCCAAGGAATGTTGACGTTCTCATCCATTTAAAGTTGAATCTCTGTAAAATATTCTCTTTTCTAAAGCGGCTTCTGCCTAACACTGCTGTGGTATTTACACTGTGCACACAACTATCAGCATAGTTGGTTCCTTTATTTTCTGCTTTCACTTTCAGTATGTAAATTAATTCACAAATGTAACAGCATCATTAAAAAGATCTGATTTTAATCCATTTCTTTCATATTTGCTGCATGCCACCAAAGGTATGAAAGGATGTCCCAAACTGAGCAAAGCACTTTAAGCATGTGCTTAAAGTCAATGAGATCTAAAGAGATGCTTAAGTGCTTTACTAACTAAAGCTGGTTTTCTGGAGGCAGGGCAAGACAATATATACTTATCCTTCATCTACATTCAGCTTCCTCACATTCCTCCTTCATTTCACAGGACTTTAATAAGTAAAAGCTGGTAATGCGTTACAAAATCTGTGAATGGCAAGTGATTTGTTTCTATGCAGATGTTTGAGCCTGGTGCTATTTTATGTCCCTCTACTCAGATACGTTCAAATTCTAGGGATTTTCATTTTATGGACACTGTTTTGCCACCAGGAACAAAATCTGACCTCTCAAATGTCCCATTGCTATTTCTGCTTACCCTCAGCATATTCAATAAGTGGCACATTAGATATTAAAGATCATAATGGAAAGGATTTTTTTAGGCTTTCTAAACTAGGAAATGCATTTTTAGGTGCTTGTTGGCTGCCAGCAAATTATGTTAGAGCTTGCGGGTGTCCCTGTTCAAGACAACGTGACTGACTCGCTTTGGAATTAAACTAGCTAGTATTGTTTACCCTGTCATTACAAGATGAGAGGTATCTGATAACTATGCACATGTCTGATTTGATAAGTTCATGGTTTTACAGATCCAACTGCAGTGATCATTTAACTCTAATGGTCTATATTATGGAATACATTACTTGTAAACCTGCAGAAAGCAAGCAAGACCAAAATCACTAGATGGGTTATTGCTCGTGTGAAACCACCCAATGACGACTAAACAAAAAAAATCAGTGTGGAGGGGGTTGTTTGTTTTTTTAAGAAAACTAAAATAACAAAAATATTTACCAAATAACGGAGAGTCTCATTTTGCAAACTAATAACATGGGCGTACCACCCTGCTCTCCAATCCCTGAAGTCCAAGATTTAGCGTGTGACATTTCTGCAAAGTTGAATGATTGCCATTGCAGCTCAAATTGATTGTGATCATAACTATGGCTGTCAAGCGATTAAAAAAATTAATTGTGATTAATCACGTGATTAATCGTGTGCACTGAACCTTTGAAATGCTGCTGCAGCATTTCAAAAGGGCAATGTTGCAGAAGCTGGGGACCAGCTGGAGTCCTCAGCTGACCTCAGGCTCAGTGCAGCTGCCCCTTGGAAAGGCTGCCCCGGTGTTTCCAAGGGGCAGCGCATTAGGAGCCGGGGATCAGCTGGAGTGGCCAGCTGATCCCCAGCTCTGCGTTGCGCTACAACTTTTAAGCTCCAGACTGGCGCTTCAAAGGGGCAGCGCTGCACAGAACTCGGGGTCAGCTGGGGACTCAAGCTGATCCCAGGCTCCTAATGCGCTTCCCATTTAAAGTGCCAAAGTGGCGCTTCAAAGGAGCAGCGTAGCATTAACGCCTGCAATTAATGCGTTAAAAAAATTAACGCATTAATCGTTCCCTGCGATAATCGCAGGCATTAATGCACATCAATTGACAACCCTAAATCATAACTCCACTGAGTTACATCAAGCATGAATGTGTCCATCCTCTGAAATCTAGAGACTCGTTCAATATTTCTTTCCAGCACACATTCAGATTTATGTGGCATTTCTTGGCACACATTTGCACAATTTCAGAAATCGGGGAGGTTTTTTTTTTCTGAACATAGCACCCACCATATGTTTGAAAATCATCCCAATTAATGATTTCAGGAACTCCTAATCCTTACTCTCCCATATAGTGACACGGAGGCAAGGTGGAAATGTGTCTGTAAAAACCAGTTTCATTTAATCTAGGACTACAAAATTCCTTACCCATAATTATATTATTATTTCAAGGTCACAACACAAGGAAAAACTATGGTTGCTTGGATGCTTTACATGAGCATTTCCAAACCTTAACACCTTTGAATTTCTTTTAAGTACAAACTGCACTTCCTGAATTTGTCATGGCTGGTTTGAAGAACAGCACTACTATGCTTTTTATTCTTCAGTTACTGATACATACTCTCAACTTTTAACTCCCTTAACACAGTGTTTGCCCTGGAAGGTATAATTATTATTGACTATTAAGAAGCTGGTGTTAGACAAGATTCTGTATAGCTGGTCCCCGAGTTGCGAACGGTCGACTTACGACCGTTCACAGTTACGACCAAAGCTGTCGTAAATGGCGGACCCTGAGTTACGAACGCGATCCACGCTTACGAATAGCGCGGTCACGTGTAACTCTATGGGGTCCGACTTACGAACGAACCGAGTTACGACCAATTGCTTGGTCCGTAAGTTGGGAAGAGGCTGTAGATTCTGTGATATTCTTCTCAGCAAGACTAAGAGCGGGGAGCAATATATTTTAATGCAGATTTAGGTTCCATTCAGCATCTACCCAGCTTCTCTTTCAAGATTAATTAGCAGACATATAGCTCACTTTTACAGATTGGCATTAATTCCTTAGCCTATTTTGAAAAATAAAATCGTATAAAATAGTTTGCAATCACAGCATTTTTCACCCAAAGTTCTTAAAACACTTCATAAACATTCATTAGGCCTCACAATACTCCTGTGACTATCCTGTATCATACCCATTTGTATCATACTCCTGTATCATACATTGAGGCATATAGAGGTGCAATGACTTGCCCAAGATTATTCATCAAGTCAATAGGAGACTCCGGAATATTATCTTGAGTTCTTTGCCCAAACAACGGCTTTCAATACAATGTGATGCCACATTATAGGCCAGGTGTCAGGAGGGTAATCACAGTAGGAAGCATCATGGAGCATGAAGGTGGATGAAGCAGTCACTGGTGCAAACCAACTGTGGGTTCATATCAGGACATTGTCACACCCAGGTGAGGTATTGATAACATACCTACCAATGCAAGGAGAGAATGTGGCTCTTGGCATTCTGTTAGGGCAAAATACCTGCAAAATAACAATCCATCTTTGGTCTTCATATAATGGCAATGTATCCTCAGCTGTCTTATGTCACCAGTACCTCTGTGCAGAAGAAAAAAATAGTGCCATGTTATTTCCACAGAATCAGAGGTCTGTCTAGTCTAGCTCCCTGCAACTTGCTAGCAGCCACTAATACCACTCATAACATTTAATAAAAGTAGACAGAGTGAAAAGTAAAGCACCATGTGCCTATTTAAATAATGACTGAAACATACAAAAAATAACAGAAGTTGGAACCAGAAGTGAGTTTGTATTCAATGTCAATCCTTTGCACCTACTGCATTCTCCATTGGATTTCCACCTTTCTCCTAATTCCCGTGTGACTAAATCAACTGTCACAATACCATGACATTGCTCTGTATCTTTCAACTTAAATCACTCAGAAGACTTTTTAAAGTGCTCTTCAAGTGACATGTGTCAAAATGAGGAATCTACCTCAAGTTTTGGGAAAAGTGGTAATGCATTTGTACACTATTCCACAGGTCATAGCAGCAGAGACAGAGAAAGCTAATGGTCAGTGCAAGAACTCTTGGGTTCTGTTCCCCCTCTGATATGCATTGTATGACCTTAGCAAATCACATAAATGTTGTATTCCTGAGTTTTCAAATCTGCAGTGTAGTTATATTATTTATCTACCTCCAGACATATAGTAACATTTGATTAATTACTATTTATGAAGCACTCTGAAGTGACCAGTGAGAGAGCTCTATATAGTGGAAAGTAAAGTAATAATAATATGCACACTATAAAAGTGAAGTGCTTCTATTCTGGAGCCGAAGGGTGCGTCTACACAACACCCTTACCTCGAAATAAGCTACGCAATTTGCACTACGCAAATTGCATAGCTTATTTCATACTTATTTTGAAAGAGCTTATTTTGAAATTTGTCGCTGTCTACACAGCACCAAATTTCAAAATAAAGCGCTATTACGAAATGTCCCTTAACCCTCATGCAATGAGGTTTACAGAGATGTCGGAATAGCGAGTCCATTATATTTCGATATAATGGGCTTACTCTTAAGACGTGGAATAGTTATTTCGGGATCCTGAAATAGCTCCTCAGTATAGATGTAGCCTCAGAGTGCTTCCTGATGGCTGTTGGAATGGTTATTGAACAAAAGGAAGCTTTTCCTTAACCTACGTTAGCTTTATTTCCCTTCTACCACCAGCTTTCATGAAAAGACAACAGCTTCCTGCTTATGGCTTATTTAACCCAAACATTTCCTTTCCCAAACATTAGGCTCTATTACAAAAAAAACCCAAACAACCCAAACATATCTATAGAAATGTTTTCTTTTCGTGATGCTCTTCTCACCTCTAATTTTTCCTGAGCAGCAGCTTGAGATGGACCCTGAGTTTGTAAACACATATTCATGTATTTAACTTTACTCACACAAGCAATCCCAGGGATACCAATGGAACTTTTACATGAGCAAAGTTAACCACATGCTTACATGTCTGAAAGCTTGGGACCTTGGACTATAAGGAAAAAGGGTCTGGACTGGCATGCAGTGTAATGTGTTGTGTATCTTTATTATTTTACATGAATACATACAAAATAAACAAAAAGTGGAAAATAAGTATAGTTTTGTCTTCCAGAGAAGGGTGAAATGCAAAAATTACCATCAGAATAAATAGTTACAAATAAATTAGAGCTTTAACATTCTGATGAGAGCAGGTGAGGAAATGATTTCCCCTCTCCTGAAAAACTATTTTGGCAAAAAAAAAAAAAAAATCTTCAACTTATTTTTTTTTTAACTTTAAAAAAAGTTGGGGGGAGGGTGTTTCAACAAAAAACCTGAAAACTTTCTACACCAATATTTTGTCATGAAAATGGACTTTGTCCAAAAAGCCACTTTCGCTGAAAATGGATATCACTGAAAAAATGTTCAACCAGCTCTAACTCTGCAGAACAAAGGTAAGACAAGGGGTTACCATCCCAACAGAGTCCCTTTGGCTGGGGATTACCAAAGAGCAGCAGCAATGTGAGTTAGGTACCCGCTAATCATCCAAACCCACCCACTGCTCGGTTTTCCCATCCTGTTCCCTTGTTTTAGCCCTTTGCCCTCTTCACTCCTACGCGTTTTTCTTCTTCTTTGTCCCCCATCATTAGTGTGTGTCCTGGACTTAGCAAATCCTCCCCATAGGCTGGAGGAGGGTCCTTCGTGGACCCCGACAGGATCCAAACACACCTCGCCCAAGTGCCCGGCGCTGAGCAGCTCCAAGCCTCGAGAGGAACCTTGGGCTGCCCGGAGGAGTGTCAGGGGGCAGAGGGGGCCCTGGCAAGCAGCAGCCCCGGGCCCAGGCGGGGGAACAAACACCCCTTTTCCCTAAAGCACCAGACCCTCCTTCCGCCAGCCCGCGCTCCACAAGGCTCCCGCCGGCAGGCAGGGG